CTCGGTACAACAAGAAATTATATAGCAGTGGAAGAAAAATTCTTGGGCTTTGTTTTGGTATATGAATTAGTGTGTACCGAGTTGCACGGAAGCGGCAGTTTTGTAAAACGCGTAGACCCTTTGTGTATGTTTGTGTATGTTTAACTACCCTGTGGATTAATTGGTGTTTGAAAGATTGGTGTGCAGATTTTTGTTGTCACTGTATGAGACTTATTGATAGTGAATTGTGTTTGGATGACTATGTCAAAACGAGAAAGATTAAATTATCTCTCCAAGAGGAAAGGATGGCCAAAAAGAAATGTCGAGTATTATATGAACACACTATTGTAGGGGACTTTTTATTTTAAACTTGCACACACTTTCAAGGAAACGGTTGCAGCGTCGGCTCTTTCATTTAGTTTTGAAATTGATTTTTTAAGAAAACGGCAATTGTTACTAGAACAATGTAAAATTAGGACTGACGTCAAAGATTAAGGCAATTGTTACTAGAACAATTACACGTCTTGTAAAATTAGGAAAGATGTAAAAAATCAGGGCGATTGTTATTAGAACAATTACAGGTCCCGCTTGTTATTAGGCTTTAATAAAAACCATGGCTGTGTGTTTTCATTGACTTATAATCGGGGAAACAGATTGAAACGGAATGAATTCAATTTGTTGTAAGGTATTCTTTTGGGAAACAAGTTGAAACGGGGATTAGTTCAATTTGTTTTAGTAATTCGAGGGCAACAGATTGAAACGGGATGAATTCAATTTGTTCTAAGGTATTCTTTTGGGAAACAAGTTGAAACGGGGATTAGTTCAATTTGTTTTAGTAATTCGAGGGCAACAGATTGAAACGCGGATGAGTTCAGTTTGTTTTAGTAATTCGTGACTCATTATAAACAGAACCTACATCGCTGCCCATGTTGGAATTGCCTCATTTCTTATTTGTCCCGCAAACCATATAATGTGTCACGAAGTGTCCCCGAACCATATAATAAGTCACGAAGTGTCCCCGAACCATATAATAAGTCACGAAGTGTCCCCAGAACCATATAATGAGTCACGAAGTGTCCCCGAACCATATAATAAGTCACGAAGTGTCCCCAGAACCATATAATGAGTCACGAAGTGTCCCCGAACCATATAATAAGTCACGAAGTGTCCCCGAACCATATAATAAGTCACGAAGTGTCCCCAGAACCATATAATGAGTCACGAAGTGTCCCGCTAACCATATACGTAATGCTAACATAATGGGCCATGACGTAGGTTGTATTGACGCAATTCGAACATAATAAGCCGTGACGTAGGTTGTATTGACGCAATTATAACATAATGGGCCATGACGTAGGTTGTATTGACGCAATTCGAACATAATAAGCCGTGACGTAGGTTGTATTGACGCAATTCGAACATAATAAGCCGTGACGTAGGTTGTATTGACGCAATTATAACATAATGGGCCATGACGTAGTTGTATTGAGGCAATACAAGTCACGTCTCTTCCATGATAAAAGACCGTGTCCTACCCCATTTCATCATTCAGTTTTTGACTGTCTTATCATGGCGAACTCGAAATTTCAAACCTTTGACCACTTACTTCGCGATGAAGAAGATGAATTAATGAATGCTGGTTATCGTGTGTTTGAACAACGTGGCGGAGGTAGGGGTCCGCTTTTTCGAGCCCAGTTTAGTCAAATAGGAATTCCGCGTACCTGGCAAAGAAGATCGGTCACGCAAATCCGTTATAATTTAACGTTCGAGCAATTGAGAGAAGTTAATGGAGAAGAAATTGGAGAAGCCATGATGGAAGCCATCGCTACTACCGTGGATGATATTGTACGACAGCAGCAAATTCCAATCAATTATCGAGTTCAGCTGTCGATGAATTCGAAAGAATTTCACCACGCCTATAGCAGTACTATATTCAATTTAAAAGAATGATTTGCCCGTAGTGACCGCGTCCAAGGATTGTTGGAACACTTAGCCAAGAACCTGAATTCAAACGAATCATTTAACCCGCAAGTGGGGTTTGATGTGTCGCTGATGTTTATCAGTCAAGTAAACCCAGGCAGCGGACGAAAACTTAAAAAGGATAAACCCGGTGTGTGGGACAAATTATCGAAGAAGAAAAAATGTGTGATACAAATGAAAAACAAAGACGAACTCTGTTTAGCAAGAAGTATCATCACCATGAAAGAAAAATGCGATCAGGGAAGTCATTGGGTGAATCTTCGTAATGGCCGCCCTATTCAAGAGCGTTTAGCCAAATTATTACACCAAGAAGCCGGTGTTCCTGAAGGACCTTGCGATTTGACCCACGTGCAAAAATTTCAAGATTTTTTGGGACCACAGGGATACCAAATTGTAGTGGTATGTGCTCAGAATGCTGTCATCCTGTTTAAAGATTCACAGTACAACCAATCCCCTCACAAAATTCAACTCGTGAAAACGGATGGTCATTTTGATGGTTTGACATCCATCCCGGCATTTATTAACCGCAGTTATTTCTGTTTTGATTGTAACCGTGGTTATGATCATGAAAGTGCTGAGCATCATAATTGTTTTGGGCAAAATTGTCCAGGTTGTTTACGGCGAAACAAGAAGTGCCCAAACTATGCTGCTTGGCTGAAACCGAACTTTGAATGTCGAGATTGTCACTGTTTATTTTACGGGGAAGACTGTTTGGAACAACATAAGAAAGATAAACTGTGTGGCAAATACAGGAGATGTCTGGTATGTGCTCAAGAATATCAAGTGGATAAAAAGAAACCGCACAAATGCTATCACAGTACATGTAGGAATTGTAAACAATTTGTCAATATCAGTGAACATTTGTGCTACATACAGCCTGAGATAGAAGAAGAAAAAGAGACAGTGGAAGAGGCAGAAGATTTTGAAGATCCACTTCGATGGGGAGAATCAGATGACAACGAAGATCAAAAACAGCCTCCCCCATCACCGCTTTTAGTGTATGCAGATTTTGAATGTATGTTGGATGCCAAGAATCAGTTTATTCCTGATCTTATTTGTTATGCAACCTCCGAAGACGATACAGTGGTCAGTCATTTTGGATTAGACTGTGCGGAAAAATTTGTGCACGACCTGGATGATCTGACAGAAGTTGAAGATAATGAGAAAGAACGTGACATTCATGTATTTTTTCATAACATGAAGGGATTTGACGGGACTTTTAGCATGGATGAACTCTACAAACAACAGAGAGAAGTAGTCAATCAATTGACCGTAGGGGCGAAAGTGCTGCATTTTCAAAGTGGAACCATACATTTTAAAGATTCCATGTGTTTTTTACCGTTCGCCTTGGAAAAATTTCCTGCCACTTTTCATTTAACGGAACTTAAAAAAAGGTTTCTTTTGTCACAAATTCCACGTCGAGGCTAATTTATTGTATGAAGGGCATATTCCTAATGTGGAATATTACGACCCAGACTCAATGGATCCTAAAAAGAAAGCCGCCTTCCTTGCTTGGCATGCTGATCAAGTCGCCAGAAATGTTGTCTTTAATTTCAAAAAGGAACCGCAAGAATACTGTGAAAGTGATGTTCAGTTATTGAAAGCGGGCTGTGAGAAATTCGTGGAAGAATTTTCTTCCATTGCTGGATTTAATCCATTGTTAAGGTGTGTTACGATCGCGAGTGCGTGCAACTTATTCTGGCGAAAAAAATTATTACAACCTGATTTGATTGCAGTGGAACCCGTTCACGGATGGCATGGGGCTCAAGTCAATCAAAGCAAAGTCGCACTTGAATGGTTGTATTTTGAAGAAAGTAAATTGGACGGAGACAATGAGATTAAGTTTGTGAGAAATGGAGGGGAACAGAGAGTGCTTACTGCTGCAGGAAGCTATTTTGTGGATGGATTTAATCCAAGAACAAACACTGTATACGAATTTCACGGTTGTTTTTATCACGGCTGTGTTAAATGTTTTAAGAATTCCAGACATCAGAGACGAAATTGTCACAGCGATCGAACTGTAGACGAGGTGTATCAAGCAACCGTCCTCAAAACGCAGAGTTTAAGACAAGCTGGATACAGAGTGATTGAGAAATGGGAATGCGATTTTAAACAGGACAAGAAGACAGATCCTGCATTGCAAGCCTTTTTGAAAGAGTTCGACCTGGTAGAACCCATGAATCCTCGTGACGGGTTCTTTGGGGGACGAACTGGCGCAGTTTGTTTACATGCGAAAGCCACAGAACCTGGAGAAGAGATAAAATATATCGATGTCACGAGTCTTTACCCATGGGTAAATAAAACCTGTACTTATCCTGTACGGCACCCTCAAATTTATACAAATCCAAAGGATCAAAACATTGCTCATTGGTTTGGTCTAGCTAAAGTGGACATTCTCCCCCCGGAATTTTTATTTCACCCTGTTCTCCCTGCCCAAAGTGGCGGAAAATTAACGTTTCCATTATGTGCTGCGTGTGTTCGCGAAGAACAAGGCAAAGACAATATGTTGCAGCGTACCAACATGTGCCACCACACAGACCAAGAACGGATGATAAGAGGGACTTGGTGTACTCCAGAACTTGTACGCGCTGTGGAGAAAGGATACCAAATTTTGAAAATCCACGAAGTCTGGCATTTTCCTGAGGAAAACCAGGTGACAGGATTGTTTGCAGAATATGCCAACACGTGGCTTAAAATCAAGCAAGAGTCTGAACAGAAAGCAGACTATATCCGTCAGTATCAGGAACATGAAGAGATCCTGTTGGAACATGTGCAGAAAAATCCTGGTCGAAAAACAGTGGCGAAATTAATGTTGAACAGGTAGGTAAATTTGTTGACTTTGTCTGCATTTAAACCTATATGAAATGATTTGCATTTGCTCACCCTATTGCAAATACGGCTTATTTCGTAGAAGGAATTGTATGAGAAAAGTCTGAAAAACACTGCACGTTTTTCTTTTAAGTTGCAGTAAAACACTGCATTTTAACCTAATTGAATTGAATTGTGTTTACCATACAAACAAAAATCGTTTTAACTCTTATGTTGGGTAGTCATTGACTGATTGTTTACTTTTTTTTTTTTTTTTTTTTTTTTCAGTTTTTGGGGGAAATTCGGAGAAAGACAAAACAAACCTAAAACAGAAACACTGATGAGCCCTGATGCTTTGTATCGATTATTGGATGACGAAACAAAAGAGATTAAGCAACTGCGTATCTGCAATGAAGAGATTTTAGAAGGTGTGATCGTGGATGCAGAAGAAGAACATCAGAAAAGCGATAAAATCAATATTTTTATCGCGGCATTTACAACATGCCATGCACGCTTGAAATTGTACGATGGATTAGACACCTTGAAAGAACAAGTTTTGTATTATGATACGGACAGTATCATTTACAGATGGAGACCTGGTTGGTCAGACATTCCAACAGGCGTTTTTCTCGGTCAGATGACAGATGAAACAGAAGGTGACCCAATCGTGGAGTTTGCTAGTGGAGGTGCAAAGAATTATGGGTACAAAACACGTGGAGGCAAGTTTGAATGTAAAGTGCGTGGTTTTACGTTAAATGTTCGCGGGTCAGCCGTGTTAAACTTTGAAAGTTTAAAGAATAACATTCTCGCCGAGTTAGAAGACCCCCAGGAGGAACCGCGTCAATTACAATTGACAAACCCCAATTTCTTCGAAAGGGATGTCACAAACAAACGCATTAAACTGACTCAACGAGTCAAAAACTATAAGTTAGTATTTGATAAGCGCGTGATTGATGTAAGTACTCGAAAATCGTATCCGTACGGATATTCACGTATAGGACACGAAATTGATTTGTTACTTGATTTGTAAATACAGTAAGATAGTAGTAAAAGTATGATTCCGTTGTATTTTAAACAATTTCGCACCACACACTGATTTGTCAACAACCAATTTTATTTTTCAAAAAGTGAATAAAAAATTACAACTTGAGACGTTTATTGGCTTACATTATTTTTTTCACTGTTTTTTTCCGGCAAGGTTTTCTTACCCGGCAATCGGTCAATGGACCGGATCATGTCTTCATCCGCACGCCATTTATCCTGTAATTTTTTTGCGTAACTATACGCGATGTCGTGCTGCTTTGCGATTCGGTCGAGTCGGTTTTTGCCTGGATCACCTCTAGCCAGTCTCTTCCCTAATCTAGTGCCAGGCCCCGCATACTGATATCCTCCAGGAATATGGAACTCGATCCCAGTCTTGCTCAAAGCTTTCTGAATATCAAATTTCCCACCTCGTTGTCGCCTTCTCTTTTGACGTTTGTTCCTTGTTGTCTTTTTACTTCCAGTCTTTGCCATCGAGTTTTCGCTTCACAGGCGTCCCAAATGGTTTCCAGCCAGGTGCAGGTTCTAACTTTTTCAAAATCCCCTTTTTTACTTGTTTAGCACCTTCTTTGATTTTTCGATTGGTATCTCTGGCTGATTCAGCACCCCTATTCCAAGGAGACTCACCTACTGTATCCGACAATGATAGCTCAGTGGCTAATTCTTCTGACGACTTTTCAGGTGTCTTGAATAGAGTAGTCGTCTTTTTAACACTGGACTTTTTAACGGTGTCTTGGGTAATAAACGCTTTCCTTTGAACCCCGTTTGAAAGGAAAGCTTGGCTTTTTTACTGCTAGGTGGTGACTTTCTTATGTCAGGTGTAATAGGTGACTGTTTTATGTCAGGGTTCTTTGGAGTTGCTGGTCTTTTTATTCCTTTTTGGCTTATCTTGGCTATCTTGCTAATCAATTGATGCACAGGACCTACAGCTAAATTATCCTCCTCATCTGACGCGTCCTCAAAATCTTCTCCACTCCCAATCGCTCGTGTTCCTCCTAGTTGTCGTACTTTTTTGGTCCATTGCCGTAATTGTCGTCCTACCGCTTTCAATCGTGGCTCTTTCCATGTATCAGGCGCTTTACTTTCAAAGAGTATATGTTGTTGAGCGGCTAAATCGGCTGCTTTGGTTAAACGACTGTCATCCAAGAGTTTGGATTTGTACTGATCACGCAAACGTAAAAATTTCACAGAATCTTCTACGGGTGTACTGCTTATTCCCTCCATTTTCGAAAAATGATGACCCTATGGATCATGATCTGCTACTTATACGTTTTAAGGTCGTCGTTGAAACAGGGTGGGAAATTTTTGTTTCAGTTTTTGTTGAATCTCTTTCAACATCTCAGTTGCAGACAAAATACCTTGCACTATACAAAGCAATTGATCGAGCAGTACTTGTCTCCTCATCATGTTAGTAACGATACTGTTTTTGACCACAATGATAACAACGTCGTAATTCTTGCCAAACACTTCCTCCTAATTGATGCATCATCAATCCACGTCGCCTTTTTATACTTTGCCGAGGGCTGGCTATGACACGGAGTTCTTTAGCATAAGGTTTGAGTCTCCTTAATGTTTGTCTTCCTTGAGGGACCGCGCCACGGATTGTATTCATGACTAATTCACTCACTGCATTGATTTGATCTGTATTCGCATGTCGTAATTGTTGTTCGCGTTTATGTAACTTGGCTTCATTCAATACACTTTTTAAAAAAGCAGCTTGACGTGACATACGTCCTGTCATCTTGTTGTTTAACGCACTGAACGTGTGCGTTTATTTTTATACTAACGGTGCTTACGTTTTACACGTCGCTTACGTGTCATAGCCTTACGTCTTGCTATATCAAGGACTTTTTTAGTACCATAACTAGCTGCAGCACTCACTCCACCTAGAGCTGCCGCTTTCCCTGCTGCCACTAAAGCAGGAACAGCTAGGGCTAAGAGAGGTGCAATACCACCTCTTTGTCTTCCAACCCCAGGTTTACGTCGTCTAGCTCCACTAGGATGTCGTCGTCTTTTACTCATGATCACTCTCTGTTTACATTTTAACGGAGCGTCTATTTATATCTTCATCAAAGGTATGGACTTGAGGTCTGCCTTCTCGTTTGGTTAAATGACTCCAAATACGAAAACGATCATCCGACGCAGGATGTAAATCCAACATGAAATAACCAAACGGGCGTGCTGTGAGTTTTAAAAACAATTTGAGGACTTTACGCCATCGTTCAGGATACACTTGTAATAGTAAATTACGAATCCCTGTCTTGTCTCGTGGGCACTTGAAGCAAATGACATAATGAGCATTGCGATTAATAGTTTTCGCAAATTTTCCAGGTGGAAATAAGTCTTGAGTTAAGTACAGGGCGGTGATGCCACGATGATGAGAATCTTTCGTAAATAAATCCAAGACACGTTTATCACTGCCTCCTTCTTCCATCAGATCATCCAAGATGAGAATCCCATGATCTTGAGGTTTAAACCATTTAGCTAAGGCCCCCTCTGGAGGGAGTCCTTTGTAAAATGTGACCTTGGATTGTTTTTTCATGCGATCAAATCTAGGTTGCCAACGATCGTAGCAATACATCACCTTTTTCGGAGGAGGGTAAAACAGTTTCTTGTCTTTCAACACTTGTTCCACCAGTTCACTTTTACCACTCCCAGAGGGACCTGCTACAATCACACTACACGGTTGGCGAATCATCTTGTTCGACGTCTATAATGTTGCACATTGTCTTTTATACCCTTAAAGGCTTGTTTTCCTAAAAAAGCAGCGGCTTTCGCAAAACTAGGAGCAGGGCCTGATAATCCCATCGCTACTCCTTCGGCAATTTTATCTATGAGTCGTGGTTTTCGTCGAAATCTAGCACCCCCTCGTTGCCTTCTTCTTTTCGGTCTGGACTTTTTTCTAGCCATCTCTCTTGATACAGGCGAGGTGAAGCATACTGAATCATATGTTCCATGGTCTCCCTTAAATAGCTTTTTGCTCATCACCCCTAGTTATCATGATAGAGATGAAGACAGGTGATAATGTAACATGAATTTTATTGAGAATGAACTTAACAAAACGTTCCACGGCTTACATTGGCTTGTTTACAACTTAGGTCTGTCTGATACAATTCTTCTTTAATTAGGCGTTTCAACGATTGAGCGACTCGACTATCATTTAAGACTAAATTTTGCTTGTTCCATTGTGCTAAAAAATCTTGAAACGTACTTCCATGGGCTTTAGCTTTTAAAAACATTAAGACATAATGTCCACAGGTTTGACTATCTAAAGCTTGAATCGTCATATCACTGAAGACCACTTCTTTCCATTGTGCCAACCATGCTTGCAACTTTGGATTCTTGTAGGTAGATAAGGGTAAGCCATAACTATCAAAGACTTCACAAAACCCCAAATGTGTCCAAATGGCTAACCAATGTTCACCCGGTTCTCCTGCTGGATCCGTGTTGACAATATAGGCGTCAGTAAAACGTCGTCCTTTGGGGACAGAAGGTAACTTATCGGCTGGAAACACACCACGAAACGAAATTCTTAACAATGGATCTTCTCGTGCTAAGATGTTGAGCACTGTATTGCTGAGAGCCACAAACTCCATGACTTAGTAGTTGAGAGAATAAAGGATGCCTCCGAACTGATCGATTTCATATAGGTTTTCATATTCGCTCCAGATCACCACGGTAATATTATGATCCACCGCTGCCTGGAAGTCAATCTCATACCGGACATTGCCTGTTTGTCTGGGATTTCTGTAATGAGGGTCATCTGCATCACCAGGGACATTGTTAAACACATACAGTGTGCAATTTTTTCCCTGTCCCCAATCACTGGGAAGAATCATGGTAGGCTTGTGTTGTTTATGAGCTCCTATCGGAGTGAGAAATCGGTTGTACCCTAGCAAATCTTCTGCCTGAGTATTCCCGGCCATTTCCAAAGATCTATAAGGGTATTCTTCACCATCAACAGATTGACGTACTCTGGTCACTCCAAACTTTTCATAGGCGAACGGGTAGCAGGTGAGATCACCATTATAATTTTTAGATTTGACCAGACCGAGAACCACTCTGTCTGGGACGCGTCCCACGAAAAAATTATCCTGTTCCCATCTTGTACTTTTCCCATCAAAGGAAAAAGTTCGAATTTCACTTCTTACCACTGGATATTTCACTCGTTTGGTTTTACTGAGAGCTCTTTCTTTTTGCAGTCTAGTATAGACACTGGCATTGAGAGTGACTTTGAGCATGTGTAAGGTGACAAAAATGTCATCATCGGCTAGGGTAGGGATCTTTTTGTTCACACTGGTGGTGGTGTCGGGTGTTCCAAACAGAAACAGATGACTATCATTCAGGAACAACTCTAGATCAATTTGAACTCCAGGGATAAGACATTTGCCTGTTCTGAAGACTTCTAGGTGGGGTCGTACAATAAAGGTATGAAACACTTTGCCCAACAAACGGTTGGTGAGTGTTTTCAAGCCTGTTTTTCCATCCCAGTTAGCAGTGTCGGGTTGATCATCATTGTTGGCATTGGTAGGAACGAGTTCTTCTTTTACTTGCACTTCATTCACCCATCCTTGGGGAGCCAAGATAGTCCTGCCTTCTTCTCGATTGTAGTTCAACAGTGTTTCTATGTAAGCTTTTTGATGGTAGGCATTACTTTGTTCACTCATCAAGACTCCGTTGAAATGAACATTCATTTGATTGAACAGGGTATGTCCAAAATTGTTGACACAATACACATATTTTGTCAAGTTCGCTGTCGAAGCAGCCCCTTCTGAATCCGATACCCCTCCTGTGCCTTCTGTGTTGAGACGGACTTTGACTTCCAAAAAACATGCATTCAAATCATAATAATCTTCTGAGGAAGGGACAGTAAACAGAATAGGTCGTTTGCCTGTGTTGGCCGGTTTAAAGGGAACATATCGTTTGGCTTCATAACGATAGTCCACATCAGGTACGTCAAAGAGGTTCAAAGACATGATGACAACTGTGAGAATTAGCGACGTCGACGCCTCCTTTTATACTTGCGTCCTTTCAACATCCAAGGATAAATTATTGGTGCATTGGGTAAACCCATCCCTTGAGCAATACTCCCGCCATGTTGGTAAGGGGATTGAAATCGTCCTACCGCTCTTTGATGTCTAATACGCGATTGTGATTTGCGTGCTTTCGGCATCTTGTTACACACCTAAAATGTCTCGAACACGTTTGACTTTCTTTTTATATCCTCGTTTCACAGCTGCTTTGGCCAGCATTCCCGCTGCTGCTGGTAATTTACGTTTAAGTCCACGTTTTAGTTCCGATCCAGACACTGCCATGGCTTGCTGTAGCGAGGATCCATCTTGAAAGGATTGAAGACCATGTCCTACACTTTTTAAAATCGAGGGTCCTGCAATTTTCACCAAATCATTGGCCAAGGCCTCTCCTCTCATAGAGGGGGTATGATACCGCGTCAAAGATCCACCACGCATGTTGAATTCCAATAATGAATCACTCTTTTGCACTTGTCTATTTTTATAGTAGACGAATGCCTAGAGTGACAATCGTTTTACCCGGAGGAAGAACAGAAAGAGGACCATCAGGCGTAGCAATTTGGACTTCAATCACTTCCAATCGATTACTGCGTAGTTTAATCCACTCGTGATGAATAGGTTCAACGGTAGCACGTCCAGACCCTGTTCTTTCCAGTTGTACTTCTCTCAACAAAGGATGTTTTTGTGCACCAACAATCGTAGACTCTACGACGTCAGAATACACCATCACAGTTTGTTTAGGAGGTCCGACCAAAGCATTGAAGGAGGTGTTGAGATTAATAAATCTCCATTGCACTCGTCTTGCAAAATGAACTTGTCCTCCTTCCACCAAGAATAGCTCCGATGAACTAGAAAAGGTTTGTGGTTTGATCCCTACATAATGACCTCCTGGCCAGGGATATTCGTTGCTGGTATTTCTTGGTAACGTACTACTATCGTAGCTGACTTAAGGCAGTTCAAAGTGTAAGTTAGGTCCTATGGTGTACGTGTTTGTGCCGGGAACGGGTTTGACAAAACCAAACATCAAAGCTAGATTGAGATGGATAGAAAAGGTGGATAATGCCTCTTTATTAGTTGTCACAACGTCATACTTGGGAACAGCTTCCAAGACCAGATCGTCTTTGTCCCATATAAAAGTGGGTTTCCATTCTTTTTTCAAAGACACGATGGCTGCATTGCCATTTGTTTCTTTCCATGTATTTGATGCGGTATGAATGTCAGTCATTGCCTTTTGATCGACGCTGGCTATAATATTGTTCCAAAATTGTACACCAGACACCACCGATCGTTGCTTACTCATAACATTTTCCAGTTCCACATGACCTGTCTTTTTTTCCCAACCGATTTGCCAATGGTCAGTGCCGACTTGGTTACGCTTAGTGAAGGTAAAGGAAAACGTGACTAGACGTGTATGTGGATCGGAGGCGATGATGTGGCTACTTTGTCCCTCGTCTGGAACTGACAAGGACCATAGACTGGCTTTCCAAGTATCCCCGGGCAAGTCTGTTAAGGAGGGTAATCGTACTTTAAATTTGTTGTTTTGATTGTCAGGAAATTCTTTGGTAGGGTCACTGATCAAGGTGATGCGAAATTCTTCCATTATCCCAAAACTTGGAGGTCTTGTTTAGCAATCCAACTATTGTACTTTTTAGGCCAACCCTTCCACTTTACGAAAACTTGTTTGCCTTTACGTTTTAGAACTTTTTCCACACGAAATAAGGACTCATACGACACGTGAACGTTTTGAACATCTTGCTCGTAAAATGTTCCTTTTATAGGGGTCCCATCATACTCAGTGAGTTTATAGGTGACCAATGGATGTCGTTTCACCTCTCGCACCAAAAACACCTCTTCGGTCCACCCTGGTAAGTACCCTTTTTTAAAAGGGCGGTGTTTCTTGTTTAATCTGACTTTATCTCCAATTTGACATTTGGGTGCTTTCTTGGGTTTTTGACTTAATCGTGCTCCATACAGTCGGTTCCAAATGGTGTTTTCGTTGCTTTCATTCACATTGACTGGTTTCTCTTTGATACTTGAATGGCGTGTGTGATTGTAGGCACGAACCAGTGATTGAAGTATATCGATATACTTTAATGTGTTTTTTGCTGTGAAATAGCGAAACATTTTTTCTTTCAATGTTCGATTCCATCGTTCTACCACAGCAGCTTTGGCATCTCCATACGTTGAAAAATGGCCCACGTCCTGCTCTTTAAAAAACGCTTGGACTTTTGAATTATAGAACTCAGTTCCAGCGTCCGTTTGTACTCGTAAAGGTTTACGTGGGTGAGCGCGTTTCCAAAGTCGTTCTAACCCTTGTTTCACTTGTTGTCCACTTTTACTTTTGATGGGTTCGGCCCACGCAAACTTGGAAAATACATCGATGACGGTGATCAAATACTTGTACCCCTTATTCCATTTAGCCAGGGATTGCAAATCGGCTAAGTCGATCTGCCACTGTTCATTCATACCAAAGACTAGAGTAGGTAAGGTAGGAAAACGTCGACGCCGTAGTTTGTGTAAGGTATAACTCAGCTTTTGTTGCAATAACTGTTGAGCTTTTTTGGTGGAAAGTCCGCTTGCTTTGGCAAAGGGTTGCACTCCCCCCAACGAACCAGGTACAGCGGGGTCTTCATAAACCAATGCTTTTTTGGACATGATACCATAACCACTGTCCTAGCAAAAACAGGAATGAATACCTCCATTGAGGATACATCTTATTTAAATAGCTCCACACTTTTTCTCCTTGTGTCGGAAACTGAATATGCAGCCAAGTCATGTAGACGACATATCGACCCCACGTACATTTTTGTTTCATAATGTCGACAAATAAAGGTTCTGGTAGACATGATGTGTTAGGAATATTGGTCTCCTTACAAAGTTTTCCACATATCCAAACCGTACTTCTATACTGTAATGCTTCCATGATGTTTAGAAAAGACAGATCAGCGCGGTCCACTTTATAGACGTGACGACTACAAAAGACTTGCCTGGACTTGCCCAAGGTTCCAGTTTTTAACATATCAAAAAATTCCAATACAATGAGGGCAAGCTCAACGCTACAATGGTGTCTCCCGGTTTTTTACTATCCAGATAGGCACGGCAGGAGGAACACAACAATTGATAACGTAACTGCTTATTATCCAATCTTAGAGCCTCTAGTTCCCCTTCCATAGTATCGATCAGTTGGGCTTTTCTTTGTAAGGTAGCTTTGGTTATTTCTAATTGCTCTTTACATTGGTACCATAATTGCGTCATCTCTAACAACCTTACATACATACATACATACTTTATTGGCTCGTCCCCACGGGGCTTTTCAGAGTCAATTTTACATTACAAAATTATAAACCAAGTACATGACAATAAGAATATAACAATGATAAAAGAAGACAAAGGTCAATAAAATTAATTAAATTAATTAAATAAAGCAGTCATTAAGAAGCTTTTGCCTGAGTGAACACTTGAATTCCGTCACGGATGGGCTAAGTTTGAGCGCAGGCTGCAACTCATTCCAGAGAGAGGTTGCTCTATATTGAAAGGTCCTTTGGCCGCTGGCAGTGCGGAAGAGTGGTATGTTCAAAAGTTGAGAATTTCTCGTGTTCCTTGTCGAGACGGCGGATCTTCCAACGAGCTTTGATGTCAAATACTCCGGAGCACAACTCGTCATGCACTTAAAAACCAGAACAGCAAAACGAAAATAAAGTTGTTGCCTGATTGGTAGCCAGCGCAAGTCTTTTAGCAAAGGAGTTATGTGATCGAATTTTTTAGCGCCGCTCAAAATACGACAAGCGAAATTCTGTACTGCTTGGAGCTTGTCCAGATTAGTTTGAGTAGTATTACCTTTTAGCTGACATGATGAACTGAAAATGAACTCGATATGGTAGAACGTTTCTGTTTATAACCCCAACCCTAACCTCTTGGGACTAGGGTTTATTACCATATTAGCCCTAACCCTAACCATTGGACAATGTGAAGAATGACTATTAAACTTTGGAGGGTCGATGACTAACAGTCTCAGTAGTACAAGGGTTAGTATCTCTGCCTGTCACGCAGAAGATCTGGGTTTAATTCCCAGCTGAGACGCTATATTATTTTGGCGCAACCCAAGAGACAAAGAACCACAAATTGCAACTTCACACTTTTTATTGTTTGAAACAAAATCATGGCTGGACCCTCGTTTTTTACATCTTTGTGCAAATCCACTAATTGGTCAAAAAAACGTTCTTGAGCTGGGGTTAACGGTAACCCTTGTTGCTTTCGTTTACGACAATACGACGCTAAACTGCACACTTTTTCCGGCAAGTCACCAAAGAGCCAGGGTCCCTTCACAAAATCAGCAATGGCTGCTTCGTTTTGAGGTCAAACTCCTTTGACGGGTTTGCACTGTTGATGACAGGCTTGCAAATACTTTTCATCTGCAGGGGATAAGCGTTTGCCTTGATTTTTTCTCTTTTGCAAGTAGGACACTAAACTGGCATCACTAGGAGGTAAGCTTCCAAAGGTCTTCGGCAGAGAGGTTTGAAACTCGTTGTTGGCCATGGCATTGATGTCATCCCATTGGTCTCGTTTCTTGATTACCTCCGCTATCTCGGGACTCCAATGAAAGGTACTTGGCAGGGGTATCTTATAAGGATTGACACCTTTTTTGGCTTGGATCTCTTTCCACCCCTCGGTTTTCTTGTAGGCTTTGGCAATCTCAGGGCTAGCAAAAAATGTACTTGCCTTCCAAGGATTAACACTTTTTTTAGCTTCTCGTTGCTCATGATGTTGTTTGGCAGATTCTGCAAACTGATTGAGCCAGGCTTGGTTGGATTGCTGCTTTTCCCACCGCTCGGCATTTTGCTCTGCTTGCCGCATCCACTCTCGATTTTCTTTAGTGAAGGATTTGAGGGGTCTTGGTTTGTAGGTTTTTCGCAGCCAGTCTGGCATGGGATCAGAAGGCAATGGATACAACGGGGTGTGGATCCACTGAAAAAACTTGCAGCGAGCGTCTTGAGTGGAACCACCACAGGTGAGAAATACTTTGTTGAGATTTTTGGCAGTTTTACTTAACCGGATCTTGGGAATCCTTTGGCAATGACACATTAGATTACCCCATTTGGCATGGACTTCAGGATGAATCTCTTGTTGAAGGACCATTTTGACTTTTTTCTTATCTTCGTCTTTTCCATAATACGAGGGACACGGTTTCTCTTGATTCCCAACGCCTAAGAGAAATTCGGTGGTCAAAGGGTCAGTCCTGTTGAAGTTCATGATGAACACTGATGCAGATTGAACCCATGCTATGTATTTAACAAACACCCTATGACGTCAATCCCTCCCTAGGGAGCGGGCAAGTCTGGGCCATGACGTTAATGATCATCCCAAGGGATGAGGCAAGACAAGACAAACAACATGACATCACGTAGGCAAAAACAACTTTAATGAATCACACTTGTTTTTACAATGCTTTAAGGAAATTGAAATCCTCCTTCGGTTTTCTGCCTTTTCTGAATGCTCATTTTTTCACTGACCATATCATTCAGTCGTTTCTTAAGGGCTGATCGGGTAGCTGTTTTAGGGACATACGCTGGCTTGGGGGCTTCATGAATCCACTGAAAGAAGTTACAGCGGACCTCTAATTTCTTGGGACAGCCTAAGAAGACTTTGTTCTTGTTTCTGGGTGTTTGACTGAGTTTCAGGTTTGGCACCAAACCAGTGACAGGAAAACATTCCCCATTTATTCAGCACTTTAGAAGGAATCTCGTTACACAGAGCTTCTAGGACTTTCTGTTTGTTCTCAAAACTTCCAAAGTACACATTGCAGGTATAGCATAGGCTAAGTCGTTGATCCGGTAGGACAAAGTTGGTATGGAGAGGTTTAGTCTCTTCCATGAGATACTCATTCAACTGCATTTTCTCTGGGTTCTGTTCTACAGTACAACCATTGATCACAACATTTCCTTCCTCCAACACTTGCTCTAAGTATGGCTGAGTTTCCATGGAGCTTGGTCCATTGACCAGCTCGTCTACTTTCATCTCTTCAAAGGAAGGGAGAACACCAGCGGACCCTGTTTGAGTAGGTTCTGACTGTTGATGAGAGGGAAATGAAAATCTTTTGCTTTCTCTACCATCGTTTCAATCTCCTCTGGAGTGTAAAAACGGGCTTGTTCCAGAGCTAGTATTTCTTCTCGGGAATACGGTCGGTCTTGTCGTTCCATGTTACCTTCCAGCACGTTGTCCAACCTTACTCTCCAAGCGACCTCCTCGCCCAGTTTTAACTGCTCACCGTTTTCTTTTGCTGGAGCTTCATCCAGGTTTTGAAGCACCTCGATTCCTGCAGTGGGAGCCTTTTTCTGCTTTTTCGCTTCACGGGATTTTTTGTTCTTCTCGTTGGCTTTCTTGACTTGTTCTTCAAACGTTTGTCCATTCAGTTGAAATTCTTGACATCCTTCTTGTCCAAGCATATGGATTTTGACTGGTCTCCGGGTTAATTTCTTTTCCAATTTCTCCATCTTGTTGAAAGCTTTTTGCAACTTTTGACCTGTGGAAGATCCATCTTGAGTGAGTCCCATGATATTGTCTAAAGCTTGGCTACGCTCAGCAGACTGAGGTACTGTGATTTCCACGGTTGGTTCTTGCATCTTCAATCTTTGCTCAACTGTTGGTTCTTGACACTTGCACATTGTAAATAAGAAGAGATAAAGCGCTCAGGTTTATAGTTGTTTGTCTCATTTGCATTGACGTCAATCCAATGACGTCTGTCCTTGGGGAATTAGGCATGTTCAAACAATGACGTCAATCCATTGTGTCATGGATTGATGTGAAAACAGGTGTTTTTGTACATATCACTTCATAATTGAAAGAATCAAGACACGTTTTATCACATCATCATGGATACAGTAGGAATCGTTGCGTTCTGTCATGGGTTTAAATTAGATAACGATTGGTTTGACTATCGTGAAATTGGTTTATGCACTATAGATGGAACAAATCATTGCTTGTTAGAGTATTCTTGTGTTTTAGGAATTAATTTTTATTGTGAAGAAATCAAAAAGAGCATAGAGGAACAAACAAGTTCTGTGCATGGATTAGCTTATCCAACTGAAGAAAAATTTCTTCGTGAACCCATTTCATCAAAGACGATGTTCTGCATTGGTATCGCACATTCAGCTCAAAACAACGTCCAACTGTTGGTCTCTATGGAGTCAATCCACTCACAAAACTGTTTCGAGTCTTGAACATTCCTACCGTCAATTTACAAGACTTTGGTCTGAACGATTTGATGTCTCTCCCTATTGGTACGATCAAGGTTATGTCGCCAGGTGATTATAGCGCCAATTGGTGCAGACAACATCAACATGGCAAACTTGGTGTTTGGCATGATTGTTGCGCCCGAGTCATGGTTTGTAAAATGAGTTGGTGGTTACGCAAGGAGCTTAAAGTTCAACCAACGGTGGCAGAAGTGAACGCTCAACGCGTTCTCTGGCAAAAACGTTGTGATGAATTGTTGGAATGGATTTTATGCGAGTATTGCATCAAAGAAAAAGATGAAGCATTCCAGGAAGGTTTAGGTTTAGATTGGATCCCTGACAATTGCGATGGAAAGTGTAAAATTGTGCAATATATTTTTGAACGAGACGTGACGGATAACACATGGCGAGACAATGTATCCTATAAGGATGAATTTTCAGAATGTATGCGAAAATGGCCTGAATCTATAAAAGAATGATTTTGTATTAAAGTATGTTCATTTACCATGTTATTGTAATCTTATGGTTAAAAAAAGAAACAGAATACCCGGGCTGCTTAATACATTAAATTGAATGATGACTCAGTGGAGCATGACCCGTCATCGCTTTAAAATTTAGCTGTGTTCTCAACATCACTCATAACTTGAGGTCATGAGCGAAGGAACGTGGATGAAAATTGCGGGTGAATTAATCCTTCTTAGTGCTGAACTACTAGAGAAAGTTCAGACCCTAAGGGAACAAGTGAAAACACTTCAAGAAAAAGTCAAAGAGCTGGAACAACAAAAACCACAGCAAGGGTATGACACCGTCTACTGAAGTCGACACCATTCTACAAAACATTGAACCGTCAAAGTTTACCACGTATCACCAATTCATGCGAGCACTGATATTAGAAGCTATCTCTGGACATAATTTGACCTTTAATAGATTGAATCACCAGCTGTATATTCTGAACAAAGAGATTTATGAAGATTTATGTCAAACCGCCATTGGATATTTTGAATTGTATGCGCCACAAAAATACAAGTCCTTTGGGAATTGAACATGTTCAGGCAATGACGTCATAGTCCTCTATAAAGATAGAGTCATACCATGTTATAGCATTCGAAGTTGGATCAAGACGGAGATACAATATGTCGGGTGTACCAACGTTTACGATTGTCACTGGTGGCGCACTTGGTGTCGATTTGGAAGCTGAAAAGTTAGCAAGAGACCATGGTTTAGCTGTACAAGTTATCATTCCACCTTGTCATCCACGAAGCAAAACAGTCCCTCCATTAACAGTGACTCAACTCGCTGAAGCGATTCCCATCCAAAAGCAAGTGGCTGCTCGTCTCAACAAACGATTGGAAAACCCGATCAGTTTACAGTATATTCACCGAAACTATCATGTGGTGAAACAAGCAGACATGGTGATGGCATTTGCAAACTTTCAACCCGAAAGTAACGTATGCTTTGGAGGAACTGGCTGGGCCGTGGAAATGGCGAAACTGCTAAAGAAGATCCTATATGTTTATGATGTAGACAAAAATATTTGGTTCTGGTACAGATATGATCAAGATTTATTCTATGCCTGTGATCAAATGTCTGAAGACCAATTTGCTTTGCCGACCTTTCTACCAAGGACTGCTATCGTAGGCATAAGAAACATTTATGACTTTCCCGATGGTTTATTGGAACTGAATGATCTTTTTAAACGTAGTTTACATTTGTCTTGTTAAAAATAAAATTCATGTTGAAAACTTTACACTTTGTGTCTGTTTACTTGTCCAAGCTTTGGTAGTACAATGCCGAGTGTATGCGAGTATCATGCAGACGATCCAGGTTCGATTATACAGATTCTAAGGTTGCTTGTTCAAAACCCGCGAACCCCGAACAACGTTTTAAAACGTTTTTAGTCATGGAGCATGCGCACCTTCAAGGACATTTTGTCTGTCCCACAACTTTTCATTTTCAAACTCAACCACAAATATAATCTCCCTTTGCATCTTATTATCTATAACAATGATTCCGTCGATGTTTTACCGATCACGTCACGATGTATCTCCGATCAAGTCACGAAATTTCCAATCCGATCACGTCACGATGTATCTCCGATCAAGTCACGAAGTGTCCCGACAAAATATGTCCGAAGTTACGACGTATTCCGAACAACTTACGAAATGTCCGACCTCATTAGAATAAGAATAGGTTCTGAAGGTGCGACGGATAGTAGTCATAGACTTGTCAGGGTTAACTGTTATCCCTTTAAAATAAAGTTTATTATTATTATTATTAACACAAGGTAGCCTTTTTGTTTTTAGCCCAGCCACACGAGTGAAGGTGGTCCCTTCTCGACACGTCTGCCTAACAGCTTGAGCGGTTAATATGTGGTGAGGTCTGTTATGAGATCTTTAAAAATGCTGGTGGGGACTGGGAACCCTAATGCATCATGTATTATCCCTGGTAATGCTGTTAATACAGGATAATAATTTCTTTGATAAATGGGAAATAAAAAGACACTACACTTGCCAAAGCTTCTTTTGCATCTGTACTTTCAGTTGTTTTTACTGCTTAGAAATGGATGTAGTGTGTCAATGTTGCTTTAAGGTAACAGTTGAATACAATGAATTTCCTTTAATTTATTTGTAAAAAAAGGTGCAGCTAAGCAATGATGAATGTGCCATCCTGTCATTTTTTTGCTTGAGCGATTAAGAAAAAAGAGTGATACGTCATAATCTTCCAACAACCGGTGAAAAACAACTTGGTCCCTGACTTACATTTAAATTACATGTGGGCAAACGGCAACTTTCCATGTCCCCATATGAATTCATATTTGAAGTACTCTTTAAAACTAGAACACTATTTGTTCTGAGAATTGAAGTTATAGTTAATTCAACCACCTGCTCCCTAAGGCTAGTGTATCGTCAAATGAACCCACTTCCACCTCTCTTGGGTGAGAGGGTTGGATTTCAGTTGAATGGGACATATGTCTTTTTGGGCATGCATCTCCCGCAAACTCATGAATGCTTCATAATTTCTGTAATGATAAAGAAAAAGTCCAATTGAGTATGAATAAATATGATGCCAAACAATTGAAAAGCTTGCTGATTATAACTTTTGGACAAAACTTCTATCTTATAAGTCTTAGGAAAATGTGTTAAAAACTTTTGTTGGAGTTGAAGAACCCCAAACTGAATTGATGTTATATTAAATGAAACTACAATGAGGGACAAAAGTGTTGACACACTTCCGTAAAATGGCCCCTTTTTGCATAGTGGATATACTTATCCCCTTCCCCTGTCTACCCCAACCCCTTCCCCCCAAAATCAATGTTGAATTTTGGACCCTCAAGTCTTTTTTTTACTTCAGACAACATTGATTCGGGGGGTCGGGGGATTTACGGCGTTTAAAAGGAATGAAATAATAAATGAATTAAATGTTTGTTAAAAGCACCCGTTTTAAACAAGTGTGTCAACTACTTTTGTCCCTGATTGTCTGAAATATGTATCTGTGTTTTCCGGCTAGATTTCGGACGCTGCTGAATTTTTGTGCGATGACGTTACTCTATGGACCAAATTGTTTGTTTATAAACAACAATTTGAAAAGTTTGGTCCTGATTTGTAGTATACGTAGAGTAAAATGTACGAAGCGTATGTCATTACTTAATCTCCCGCGCGCGTTCCTGATACCCTGTCGGGTCGAGAGGAAATCATTGGTGTTGTGATCAATGCCGCTGCTGCAGATATAATTTTTTTACAAGCATTATCAATAGTGGAAAAAGGATGGAAACACTAAGGTACAATGAAAATTGTTCTGGTAAATGGTTAACTGAAGCGAATGAAGTACTGCAACATGCATTATTGTTTACATTGACTTTTGCCATTAGTGAAAGGACGTGAACAATATACAGGTTATGAACCTCATAAATGATGAGCCAGTCGTTTGTGCTATGCCCTATAAATAGATGATTTTTTTGGGGAGACCTTTTCAAATCTAGCAGATCCAAACCTTTAGCGTGTGTAGGCGTCGAACAGGTTAGACCAGGTTAGGAATGTACTTTTGTAATGATTTTAGATGACCGCCTGCCATTTATTCAGTGGCATTTTTTTTATTGGTGTTGGGTGGACAACTATTTCATTTCCCAGCTCGTAAATCACAGAATACCAAAGAAATTGTTTTCAAGATAGACACACCAGTTTGTATCATCGCCAAAACAGCAATTACTTTGGCCCAGAAGTTCACTTGATGACAAGGAAAGCGGGATAACACGTGATCGATGACGGCCGTGCTCTGGAAAATCTTTCTTTTTTATGCGCTAATTCCTCACAAAAGGCAAAAGAAGATTCCGCTATGTAGAAAGTGCTTCGCAATACGTATTCTTGGCGAGAAAAATTCCAGCGATGTGGTGCAAATAAGGAGTTTCAACGGTTAACCACGAGAATACATATCGA